CCAGTTAATACTAGTAGACTTGTTGCGCCTAGCATATAACATTTTATTCCCCCGTGCAGATCGTTCGCTCTTTCTCTCTCTCTCTCTCTCTCTATCTCTCTCTGTCGGTGTGTGCCCGCGCCTGCCTGTGCCTGCCTGGATTATATAAAACATCTTGCAACTTGTCACTAACAAGACTGGCCGGCTTTTATTTAAATCGCAGCGATCCTTGAGCGTGCCGAGCACAAAGGACGACAAGTCGACGGACAACACAGAGCAGCAGGTACTTTTGTCATCTCAATAGTTCTTATATTTTTTTTCCTTTCCCTTTCTTTCCGAATCGAAAGAGGCGGCTGTTTTTAACGATTTATGTTGGAAAATGTGAAGACGTCTCGCGACACTGTACATATATGTAATATCTAATTTTTTTAATACTAATTTCTGAAAAAAATAATTTCTTAATCTTACAGTCGTGTGTCGACATAATGAGAGAACTAATATATATTTGTATCTTTACGCTACACGCAGAGAGACCGCAGCACCAGAGTGAGCCTAAGCAACGAAAATAACGTGTTACTCGATCCGGACGTCTTAACGGACTTTTCAACGCAGACTCTGGTGCTGACCATGCTGGCCACGCTGGTGAAGTATTCCACCAATGAAAACGAAACGCGGTTCCTCTATGAGTACCTGGCGGAAGCAACTATAGTTTTCCCAAAGGTTTTTCCAGTCGTGTAAGTTTTCTTAGACGGAACATCTGATTGTGAGACTAATCGATTTTCAAATGTTTGCAATTTGCCGAATTTGTCCTTTGCAGACATAATTTACTCGACGCGAAGATCAACAGCGTATTGTCTTCCTGTCACGACCAAGCGATACTGAATGCGGTTCAAACTATCATACAGAACATGATAGCCTGCGAAGACGCGAATCAGCAACATCATTTGCAACACTATCTGCAGAGCTGCGGATTCCGCGGTCTTTGGAGATTCGCCGGCCCCTACACGAATGTAAGTTCTGGATTCTGGCATTTGATCGTTTCTAGCGATTCATTAGTTCTGATACTAAGGATTAGTCATTCAAGGAACTAGCCTTATTTATTCGTAATGCAATTGACAATACTTTTACAGTCTAACTGCACGCCCGAGAGTGCCGAATTGTTTGTGAATTGTCTGAAGGCGATGGTGGAATTGTGTTTGCAAGAATCGAATAGTAAAGAGACAATTAGCAGGAAGAGTAAATGGGCCGGTAGCTGTCACGCGGATTTTGCGAAAGCAAGACCACACGCTGGAATTGTCCAGGAACAATCTCGTACATCAATAGAGACCGACGCATCTACCGTTCACGTAGAGTGAGTCTCATTTTACTCGCGCAGGGTTTGCCGCTTAAATGTAATTTTGCATAAACTACGTTGTGCACAAAACGCGACATACATCGGACAAGTTTAATGTTTCAGTCATACGGAGACGAGGCGAAACGATTCGGTTGATGCGCACCAAACTGAGGATACGGGTGGCGGTGACGGTGGCGGTTCACAACCTTAGCAATTAATTTGTGACACTGACCGGCAATGCGATAAAGGTGTGCGTAAGAAGCAAACTAAAGGAAAGTTACAGACGGCAGACGAAGTGTGTGAACTCTAAGTAATCGCATTGTAAATCTAGGTAAGATATATCAACAATTAGAAGGCACTCTATCTCTACCATTTTTCTCTTTATTATTTTAATTACATTCAAAAGAGATTTTACCTATTAATATTTTACCTCGCAGAACCTCGCACACATTTATCCCGTTATTATTGCTGCAACATGTCCAGTCAGTTTAGTACAATGCCGTCCACGTCACGATAATGAGCCTACAGAAGTGGAAGTCAACGAAAGCTACGTTTCCGACGAACGTCATTTTATTTCTATTAGCGATATGTGTTGACAACTTTTCTTTTTTTTAAAGCTTTTTAAGCGATCTTGTGATCATTTTATTAATCGTACGAAACTTACTGTCCCAGCGTGACAGTTTTTGCTACGAGATTGAAGTATTATACCATATGTATTGTCAGCGTTTTTTTACAACGAACTTGGAAAATTTGCGTTGAGAGCATAAATTTTCTCGTAAAATCGGACTTCAGCAAATTGGAATGTACAGTGCATTTCATCATGATTTAGCGTTCACAAATAGAAAATGATTTACACGATCAGTTTTGTCAGAGAAAAATATGTTGAATCAGCAACGAGTATTGTATATGTTCGATATTTTTCTCGTGATTACTCGCACATAATTTATTGACTGATTCTGCCATGATCGCAATACAATACATATACAGAATCTCAATGGCCCATAGAGAATCAACCGCGAGAAGCAGACAAGTAAAAGTTTAATAAGCATCTCTCGCAATTTTTTCGCGTTATACTTAGACATATGTATTAAGTGTGACGCTTCTATTCGCAGGAGAATGTATTGTTTACGATTTATTTTTAAGCAGTCGTAATATATTGTAAACAATTTTATTATTCTACTTACGAAAGAATCTCCATTGGTCCTCTAGGGTCCTAAGAAAATGCGATTGCGCCAGATGTAACTTTCTACGCGAGGACCGCGTGTCGCTCCTTCTCGTATGCCGTTGCATATATGGATCTCAACAATGCACAGATGATTTGGACCAGTGGCGCCTGTTGTCTCAAGGCGTTCGAAGCCCCGGGACGAATAATTTCTAGATTTATCAAAAGAAACACCAATATACGTGTATATTGTCTACTTATTAAAGTACAAAGCGAGACCAAGCGATATCTTCTCCGTAAAACTGTAAACGTAAGCCGGGACATTTTTAGTAATAAGGAGAAGCGGGAGGGACTATAGCGAAAAATGTAAATCGAAAGATCTCGCACTTGTGTTAGCAACAATGGAATACCAAGTGCCAGGGATCGTGTTAAAATAGTATTTTGACGTACGTGTACCGCGACGAATACTCGCCCCGTTTTAATTTTTAAATTTTCATTTATTTATTTAGGTGAACTTCTTTTGACGCCATAAGCAAGTGTGACATATATATATATATATATATATATATATATGTATGTATAAATAATAAGATGTCAGATTGAGAAATGATTGAGAAATGATATTTTTGTGCGCGCGGCTATGCAGAATGAATAGCAGCTTCTTAACGGCACTATAGAGCGATTGTTAGAAGTTTGAGAGATGTATTTGTACATAGTGCGTTGTATAATGTTTGTACAATCGTGGCGATTTTGTAAGTTGACTTTTGTGTTCGTATTGTATCTGTATTTTTAGACGAGTTTTTAGAGACGCATGAAGGAAATTCGTCGTACGATGAATCGATGAATTTCGAAATTAATGCGATAATTTCTATATGTATAGAGCTTTTTCCGAGCTTGTACTTAATACGAATGAATTTACGTTCAAGTCATTAATTACTATTACAATGAGCTTTGATCTTATTAAACGTGCGCTAGTCATATTTTAAAGTATCGAAAAGCTCGAAGTAAGTTTTTTTTATAATGTTTTTTTACACTTAGGTCGGTATTCATAATCATAAATAATTTGCAATCTTTGATTGAGAGCGTAATCAATTATAGATTCATATTTTGAATTCATATTTCACAGATCTTTATTTTATAAATCTGTGTTTCAAAAATCTGTTATTATTTGTCTCTGATTATTAGCTCAAATAATCAGAGATTCATCACATAATGCCATGACAATTTTTCTGTTTAACATTTTTTTAAATCTGAGATTATTTAAAAAATATCTATACAAAATTTCATTATCTAATAATTTAGTATTAGATTACTATAACTATTATATGATTGATGATGTGATAGAAGAAAAAAGATGATAAAAATGATTTTAATAATAATTAAGTTACTTCATCGATTCATCAATCTGAGATTATCAAAATGACAAGTAATTCATAAATCAAACGTTTCTTGAATTAACGACTATGAATTCTTGTAAAAAAATTAAATAGATTGACGAATAATCAGATTTATGAAATTGTGATTCAAGTAATTATTGAGTATGAATACCGGCCATAGTTTTTATTCCTACTAATTGTTATAAACTTTGTCAGTCCGGTAATCTCACCATGACATGTATAAACTAATTTTAAATTAATGATTTATATTCACTCATCGAATACTGATTCATACTCGCTAATTTATAATAATTAATTCGCGCAGTTCGGATCTGTTAAGCGCATCCGTAACTGCCGTGTGTTATCACGCGTCTTGTTGTCTTATACCAAAGGTGTAAATCGTCCCTAGGCTGCGTTAGACAAGACGATTAATTCATTAAGAATTAAGAAAGATAGACGATCGCGATAATCGTAAATTGCTTAACATGTATGCGGACATGTATACATCAGTTCGACATTTTCCTTTCACGGACTTCGTGTTTTCGCGATATTCCTAGAGCGTGTTACTATACGATAAATCTGTAAATATTAAATTCTAGCGTGTAAAGATTGATGAACAACGAGTTGTACGTCGGACTAGCGAGCATTTATTAAAAAAAAAATTTATGCGCACATTTTTCTAGCCTTATTCGCACAGAGCGTAGTTTACAGTTAAACGAAAGAAAGAGAGGGTTGTCGATTTTTTTTAATTGTGCGCAAATTTCGTATCAAATGTGTTCTCTTTTTTATTACAATTTACATCAGCAATTTAATTTCGAAGCAATATTTTGTCGATATTATTCAAATATCCATATTTTCATATGTATCGAGTATGTATTCGATTTTTTGCTGTTATAAACTTTTTGTATATACAGGATTCGAGTTAGTACATGACGCTATCAAATTAATTGAGTATATACGCGCGTCCGACAGTACCGTATGCACGTGTGCGAGCAAAAAGTGCGTGTATACGTAAAGAAAAGAACATATAACGGTGTAACGTTTATCTAGCGGATAGTGATGATACGCACACCGGATATTTAAATGTACGATTATAGCCCTGCGAACTCCCCTCGATTCGCGCGGTCGGCATTAAGCATTATTTTTCTCTCGAATTGAATCTCTTCACGACATGATTCTGGCCTTTCTACGAACTGCAATGAGACAATTTTTTGTGTAAATATATCGAGATTAAAACGCTGTTTGTTAAACTATATACAAGTGTTGCATTATTGATGCTCGATTTGGACTCTCGAATGCCTGTGACTCGTTTAATTACTGTTATGTGCTATTTTTTTTTTTTAGCACGAATGTATTTATAGAAATTTTTGCATATTCTTACCCTTATCTATTCTAGCTATTAGAGTGTGCCGTTACGTGCAGATAAAATTAATCTTACAAATTACTTAACCAAGTAATAGGGTAACTGTACCTATTAGTGTGCTTTTATATTTAAATAAGTCATAAAAATAAACTGGTACAAATATATAGATAAAGTATTTTTTTTTATTAAGTTAAATTTAACTTTATAAAAAAATACTTTATTTGTACCCGTTTATTTTTATGGCTTATTTAAATATAAAAGCACACTAACAGATACAGGGCACACTAATAGAGACAATTATCCTATATACCGTTGTTATTTATCATTTGATCAGTTTAAAAAAATCGGATGGTCAAACATATGATCGTCATTGTCGCCGATCTCGCGAATAAGTATGCTGATTATACTGAGCAAGAAATGACACGTGCGTTTAAATACACCTGATCTCGAATAATGCGAACCAATCAGCGTGTATCGCTACGCTTTTTATATTAAAAAATAAAATTATGTGCACGTATTCCAGAGTATTTGATTTTGAACCGTGCAACTGTTTGTTAATTTTGAGGTTAATTTGCACTTGAGAATGAAATAATACAGGTTATATATATTTAAATTTTTTTTAGAATTTCGGTTCTTTTGGTCGAGTAACCGATTATCGAAATGCATTCTACTAACAGTTCGACGATTTTTTGTCTTGAAAAAAAAATATGTATATTGTTAACCTACACTACAGTCATGATGCACGTACGAATATATATGTGACGTGATTCGATTCGGAAGTAACCGGAAGTAGTATCTTAAAAAGGTACCTCTCGACATCGAGTATATCATACTTTTCGTATTTTTTTTATTTATTTTACTATTTACACAAACAGAGAGAGAGACGTGAGAGAATCTCGGCATTTTTCGTGGGACCGGCGAATACTCGTCTGTACTCGTCTACTCCGTTGTACACTAGCGTCGCACGTCCACGTTTTCAAAAAAGGAACTACGTACCACGTCTATCTTATAACACTGTCGATCAAATCATAGCACGAGAACGTGGACGTGGTGCGTGTCCGTGCTACTTCCATCTTACGTATATTTATATACCAGAGATCAGAGAGAAATCTCTGCCTAGGTGATGGCATACATATGTTGAAATACGTCAAATATAATTAAAAAAAACTATGCTTTGATCTCCGTAATGAATTAGTTTACGTAATTGAAGTTAATGCAATTATTGCATTTTAATATTCGTCAATTTATAACATTTATCTTTCATTAATTTTATGCAATAGAAGGTCCTGTTTTAGAGTTTCAGAGTAGAAAGAACGAAAAAATAAAGTTTTTTCAGAAATTCCATAACGTTTTGCAGATAAGAAAGAATAATAGAGAATGTTTGTCGAACGGCAAGAAGTTTCGGTGGTTCTTGCAGTTTAAACCGAGGATGGAAAACATCAACATTCAAGGTGAACGCTTGGCTATTGGCTCGTATCAATAAGTCGCAACGCGCATGTCGAACATGTGTTCTTCCGTTTGGCGCCTAAAATTGTTGTACATACGAAGAATAACAGTAGGTCTGTGTGTCAGCTAACCGGTTCGGCTCAGTTCGGCTAACATGGATTTTTGTACGACCTTTGAGAAACTTTCAGCGGGAAACGATAATCGATCTCCCTTGAAAATGCCAGGCAAGGAAGCCGCGCGCGGGAAGATGCACGTTATTAAGCGCAGTAAGTTATAGGTTAATCATTCCTTCGTATTCGAATGTGCAGGATATCTTACCGTTTCACCCAGGAATATGAAATGTCCATTCTTTTTGTATAATATTGATCTATCATTGTGACACCAGGAACCTGGCTTTTGCATAAAATCGCAAAAGAATTCGCAATAAAATAAAGATTAGATGATTAGTTTAGTATTACATTTAGTGTTATGTGTTGATATTATAAATATCATACATTTATACATATTATACATTTATATAATTGCAAATCATCAGAGGTGAAAGGAGAGATTAAAATTAAACTGCTTTCTTTAGATGGGCGTAAGGAGGATGTCCATTTCGATAAAATCACTTCCAGGATTGCCAAACAGTGTTACAACTTGGATATGAACTACGTGGATCCAGTAAGTATCTTTTTACTTTTTATGATTTCCAATGTAATGTGATGTCAAAGAATGAAATGTACATGTATAGCATCTTGAGAAAAAGCCTTGTAACATTGTATATACATTAAATATATATATATTTTTTTTGATTAGGTACAAATAAATGCTAGGGACACAAATAAAAAATTACAAATTTAGTTATCAATTTGCATAATATTTAAATTTGTTATTTGCAGTCTGCCGTGGCGATTCAAGTGATACGTGGTTTGTATTCTGGAGTAACTACAGTTATACTGGATAATCTAGCGGCTGAAACTGCAGCTACGATGGCGACAAATCATCCTGACTATGCTATACTAGCTGCAAGAATCGACGTGTCTAACCTACACAAGGAAACCAAGAAGAGCTTCAGCGGTACAGCATTCTGCGTTTACTTAAAACTTTATTTAAATCAATTTCTGTGTCACAAAACTCTCAGTTGATTACTGATGTTTAATTGACATTAGATTTGGAATTAGAATTAACGTTTAATTCTTGCGCTTTGCAGAGGTCATGCATGACTTGTACTACGCCAAGAATCCCATTACGAATGAACATATTCCTACAATCAGCGAGCATTATTACAATATTATTAAGAAAAACGCGGAGAGACTGGATTCTGCGATAATATACGATCGGGACTTCAATTATAATTACATCGGCTTTAAAACGCTCGAGAGAAGCTATCTGCTGAAAATCAACGGCAAGATAGTCGAAAGACCTCAGCACATGTTGATGAGAGTGGCCATTGGGATTCACGAAAATGACATCGACAAAGCCATAGAGACGTATAATTATTTGTCCGAGCGATACTTCACGCACGCTTCGCCAACACTGTTCAACGCATGTACTAACAACCAGCAGATGTCCAGGTAATTTCGAAAGAGTTCAATTAGCTAAATAATATCGCGCGTTACTGTTTCACTAATAACTAATAATTACTTTCTTGCAGCTGCTTCCTCCTGACCCTCGAAGACGATAGCATAAAGGGCATTTTTAGCATGCTGAAAAAGTGCTCGCTCATTAGCAAATACGCCGGAGGGATAGGACTTAATATGCACTGCATTCGTGCCAAAAGCGCGAAGGATACGAATACAACCAACGGCCTGGTTTCCGTTTTAAAGTTGTATAACGAAATAGCCATTTACGTTGATCAAGGAGGAAACAAGAGAC